CTATTTCGCCAGAGTATGAGTTTTATATTATTTTTGTAAATTTTATATTGTTAAACTGTAATAATAACAAATAATTGTTGAGAAGTGATTATCGAGAACTGCTTATCAAAGTTTGCATTGTTGTCAGGCCCTGCCCTGCCCTGTCCCCTGCCCCACCCCCACCCCCCAGCCATGTTGTCCTGCTTTACAAATGTTAAAATCTGTTCACCCTGTTGATGGGGATTTCTGTTTGTAAATCATAGGCTGCAGAGGAGGAGGCTGAACAGGTTACAGTCACCCAGGGTGATAAGGACTCTGTCAAGGTTAAGGGTGGAGTAGACTTCTCCATGAGGTCGTCTCAGTCTGCACCCTCACCTGTAGGTGGGAGTTGGCCAGGGGGACAGAGCGTGAAAGACGGGTGATAGCAGGGGGTTACCTGGTGAAAGACAGGTGGTCGCACAGCCGGGGGTGGGAACTGCTGTGGTAAGGAGTCGTCCCCCCCCCCCCCGAGCATCTCCCGGGGGACCCTGGACGTATCAGCCAAGGCCCAGAGGCTGGAGGAAGAGGTGGGTTTCTCTGGTTTGTCCACAACAGATCCTTGCATTTGGGAATTGTGAAAACAGTCTTCTATCCGTCCAGCCTTGGGAGCTATTAACAAAAGAAAAAGTGCCGTGAGCTTTGGTGGGTGACTGGGACTTCCTGAGGTGGATATGGCAAGTGATCAGAGGGTCAGAGGTTTAACAGCAGAGATTGGAGTAGACGTTTTTGTTCATCGAGCCTCCTCATTGAAAGCAAAACTGCCTAAGTGTGGAGAAACTTCATTTAGTCCATTTCCCCCTTGCTCTGGTGTGTCTGCCGTAGTGGGGGGGGGGGGTCAGTAGATGTTGGCTGCCTGTTCCCGAGTGACTTGGAAGCCACTGTCTAGACTGCAGCAGACAAACTGAGTAACAGCCAAGGTGTTTCTCTGGACCTGGTGCCACATTGCTTGCTGGTTCTCAGCAGAGCTAGGTTGTTCAGACCATTCTCGTGTCTGATTTGGTGTGGAAAAGGCAGTGGGTTACTGATCTGCCTGAGCTCAGCAAAGCGCACAGGGCAGCCACGGGTTTGTGTAAAGAATGTGCTCACACACACATATCTCTTCTTTTTTGTGTGTGTGCAAAATATTTTTAAATATAGTTTTTTTCTTTACATTTTGATATACATTTATAATAAGGTTTATGGCACTGAAATCAAAAGAAAAGGAAAAGGTGGGAAGGAAAATAATCAGTATATCGTTGATTTCCTTTCTATCTCTAAGCTGGCAAGTTTGTATAATTTGTCATCATTCAGCTGCCAGCTCTTGTTTGTACACTCAGAATAACGTATCATCGCACAGGCAGCCAGTGAAAGCATATGGTGGAATGGTCAGTTCCTTGCTATTAAAAAAAACCCTCTTAAACCCAGAGAAGGGGGGATAAAAATGCAGAGCATGAAACACACAAAATTGACAATGTCTTTTGTCTTTTTAAAGAATGTCTGAAAGGTTCTTAGACCACTGAAACTTTCCTGATCTTCTTTTTGCACCAGTAAGCACAACAGGGCTTGGTTGGCTGGGTTTGGGCCCAGGCGAAGTCCAGGCTTTCACAATTCAGTGTCTTCTCTGTTCACTTTTGGTTCAAAGTGTAGCATCTTCGGTCTACAAACCTGCACAGACTGTTTAGTCATAAACTGTACAAATAGCTTAAAAGAGAAAGGGGGAGAAACAAGTTTTAGTGTCGGCTTAAAAAAAATGATCCTTTAGTCTCTTTGCTTGGTCAGTTTGTGGAAAGTAAATCTCAGTAGTATCAAAAGTTATAGTCTTCTCACACTTGTGACAAAATGAAAAGTCTTCAAACAAGTTTGTTTCCATTCACAAACTTTGCCCTTTCTCCCCCCAAAAGAAAGAAAAACCAGAATCCGTCCTCCTCCCTGTGGGTCTCCTAACGGAGATGGCACAGCCTTTCCCCTGCACCTCTGTCACGCGACCTTCTCCACTCCCACCAGCTTGGAGGTGGGGGTCAGCGTCACCCAGTGTCTAGGTCTGCCTTATACTCCAGCGACTGCCCTGTGAAGCTCAGGTTTGGGGAGATAATTGGTTGTTTGCCTTTCATAAATTTGTAAGTGTCAGGTTCACCTGAGTGTTGGTGGCAGAGCGGGACACCCGGCCTGGCAGTGGCTGGGAAGCCTTCCCATGCTGATGGAGTCAGCACAGCACCTCCTCAGAGCACTGCCCCACGTCTGTGTGCTGCTGGCTTTGGCCAGCCATCACTCGAGGTCGGAAGGTGAGTGGTGACACTGAGGATGTGTCACCGATGTCCAGCATGGTGTCCACGTCCTGAGCGCCCTGCTCATTGCCAAGGAACAGGAGGGCAGTGGGGGTGAACTCTGCGTCCCAGTGTCAGGAGTGGGAATGGACTCAGGTAGCACGCCCAGGCCCAGTGCCACCCCGCTTGTGGGAATGGACTCAGGTAGCACGCCCAGGCCCAGTGCCACCCCGCT